CAGCAAAGTCAACAGGCCCGGCAAACAAAAGCTTATATTTCAGCCTCGTCCAGGAAATGAAATATTTTGCAACTGTGGGGAGACGGGGGCCAGAACAAGACAAACGCGTGTGAGAATCATGGAGAGAAAGCAACAGTTTGAGATGAAGTACGATTTCGCTGGGACCAAAATCTCGTATAAATTAATATGGGTAAACACTGGTTACGGTAAAACGCATTGGCGGAGAGAAGTTATTCCATTATTCACATTCCTATGCGTTGGGTTTTATGGCGCGATAGTTATGAGCTGTTTTAACCCTATTAGGCACTCTGAATGTTTACATCTATCCCCGCATAGATACACACAGTCTGTGATACACGCACACACACACACGTGCTTCCTGGTTCCACCCTTACACACTCGGTCGTCGTCATCGTCACAAGGGACAGACGATAAGTCACTGTCAGAGGGAGGAAACCAGAGAGTAGCATTTGAGAAGACATTAGGCTGACATTAGCGCAAAGAAAAATACATTTGTACGTTGTATTGTTATTACAGGTGTTTTCTCACGACGATAAAAGGTCAAACTTGATTTTCATTCTCAAGAATAAACAGAATATGGCAAATTTAGTACTTGTTTTTGTACAATACAGTTTTCCCCCAAGGATTCTTGTTTAGAGACTGCCTCTATCTGTTGATCAAAGTCGGATTTGCTATATCTTGGAGAGTAGCTTCAGTGACAGACTTATTCACCTTCACTGTGTAAAGGAGAGGTTCCGCTGGTTTTCCCTTCCCGTTACTGTCAGTCTGTAATTGTCATCTCATCTGTAAACAGTAAATACTGCAATAATTGTCATTGTGCATTACTTATTATCCTGCCAGATAATGTTTAATTTCGACAATATCTATCATTCGATCTATATTGTATATTTCCCCACTGTGGGACATATCATGGTTATCTTATCTCATTGGGCTCACCATTGTTGGAAACCTAATGGCCCCACCATTAGGTTTCCATTAGGTTTCTATTGTTCATAAATTATACATTTGTTTTGGCTCCAACAGAATGTGTTTTCTTCATCTTAATGACTCAAAAGTGAATCCTTTCGGGATTCAAGGCTGGTGAGCTACTGGTAGCTCCCGAGCCACAGGTTGGAGACCCCTGGTCAAGGGGAAACCATTCCTTAGTCCAGCTCTGTTCTGAGCAGATGACTAGGAGCTCCAGGTCCACAAGTCGTAATGACTGTAGACTGCCTAAACGTAGCTCAGCCTTTGCGCAGACATCCTTCTCATTCAAAGGCATCAAAGAATGGAACAAACTCCCACAGAGTCTGAAACTTTCCTTAGACCTGAAAGATTTCTCTCGTACAGTAATACAAAAAAAGTGCTGTTGGTGAACCAGTCATGTCAGCACTGATAATTGTAAATGTAAATATGACCGTTAGTGATGTTTTATGTAGTAATTTTAGCATGGTTTTATGTGGACTGATGGATGTAACGGGTGAATGTATGAATGAATATTTGTATTTGAGTGGTTAAATATATTTGATATTGTACATGTTGTGACTCACCTGCTCAGGGACTGCAGATGGAAACTAGCTCAAGCTAAATCTGGTGCAAAGCATCTTTAATTAATGTATTTGCACATTGTCCCTGTTGAAATAAATTAATAAAATAAAATAAATAATAAATCACTTTTCAAGAATACATTTTACACAAATAGGAGAATGTATTTGGTGATGGAAAATTCCTTTTGTTTTTCCTGCCTCTGGGCATCACCTGCTTGTCTTCATGAAGACAGAGTTCATTCCATGCTGACAGCAAAGACAAATACTGCATCTTTCCATGTTTTCCCAGACGTCTTTACAGTCTTGACAGTGACTATTGCCATCGACTGTTGCCGTTGCTGCCATCATCTCGTCAGCCCCAGGCCACTTTACGAACACTAAAGAGGTTTGAGATGTTTGCAGAATTGGCCGGGCACGCTGCCTTTTGTGCGTCTCATGAGCTGCAGATGTGCAGATGGCCCAGGCCTGGGACGCTGCACTGCTGCTCAGTGGAACAGATGCATTTGTGTCATTGAATCAGTATGTGGGCCGCAGGGAGCAGGGAGACCACAAACAAACACAGCCATGCATCTCTACAAGTGCCAGCACTTTAAGAATGAAGAATGTTTCATTATTAAGATTATTAAGCAGTGGTTTGAGTATGTGGGACGATGCAAAAGAGTGGAGGGACAAAGAGATGAGAAAAACTAATGAAAATGTTTCCCAGGGACGACTTAAACATAGAGGAACAAGACTTGGGAAATGTTTGGGAAATCACTACTTTCCTTTATTGTCTGGTGTGTAGAGCTATAGGGGATTGTTTGTTCCAACACAAAGGATGACAATACACTGTAATATTATACTCAAATAAGTACAAAATGGTGTTCTTAGAAATGGTTGGATGGAGTGAAAAATATATGAGAAACTATTCCACTGAATTAAGTTACTGTGTGATGGCAACTGCAGTTAATGTGATTTTGAACGGCACCGCATTGGTTTTATATAGTGCTTTTTTGGCCGCGCAAAAACTCTGTACATTGCACTATTCATTCACTCCATACACAGCGGTGGTAAGCTGCTTCTGTAGCCACAGCTGCCATGAGGTAGACTGACGGAAGAGAGGCTGCCAATCTGAGCCGACCACCATCAATCATTCACGCCAGGCCTGACTTGTTGTATTTCTTGGTAGGAAGGTTTTGGTTAATTTAATGCACCTAACAGTCTGCAAAATGTGAGACTGGCTTTTTCTCTGACAATATTTGAATCCAGGTTAAAAACAGTTCTGTTCAGCTGTGCGGACAACTTAAAGTTTGGTTCTTCACTCTTTTTAACGTAATGTGATTATTATTGTATGATTGTAATGTTTCTTTTATTGTTTTCATATCATACCCTTGCAGGAAGTGATTAGATTATCAAATATCCACCTATCAATAAAGCCAGGGTTGTATTTTGTAACTTTGTAATTTTTATGTTTGCATTCATTTTAAGGGATTATATAGACTTTTTTTTTTCTAAATGCAACTGTAGTATACTATTGATCATTTTGCTGGAAGTCCCACCTCCCTGTATTGGAATGAGCATGCCCACAGGACCACTCTAGTTTTGTTTTGAACCTTTAAGCTAGGATATTTAGCTTCCATCACTCCTTTATCTGTTTAGTCTTTCTGTAATATGTCTGGCCACACTGGAGTTTCCATAAAACCAATGGGTTACATACACATACATGGATCTTATGACAGAATCCAATCCAATCTCTGTAAATCATGCCACAAATCCTCTTTATCACATAATAACTCTTCTAAATTTCAGGTAAAACCTTAAACTTTTTCAAATAACAAACATTTTGTCTTTCTTTTTGCTATTTAGAACCCCATAACCCAGGCCGTCTCGCTTGTCCCTTATCAAAAGTCTTAACATCCTGGAACCCTTTTTTTTCCATACTTAGAAATGCACACTAAAATGTAATTACTCTTTCCATAAACTATTTAGTGGGGAAAAAGTTTTATTTGAACTTGTGACATAACTCTCTTGGAAACATTTGCTAATTATGTAGGTCAAAGCCGTCTCTCTTTTTCCCTCCCCCCAAAGCTTCTAGCCATCGCTGCGTTCAACGTCTACACCGATATTTGACCTGTGTGGTGTTTATAGCTATTTAACCCGATGTAAACACGCCACTTCAGTAGATTGTTTTATCCGCCCGACGACCTTTAGGGCCAGTATTAGTGTAAACAAGAGAATGTGAAGCGTGCACACAGCAGTGATGTTTAGCTTTGACTCGGTGGTCAGCAGAAGCCCATGGTGAGCTGTAAACCCCACGTCAGCTGGGCCTTTGGTCTGTGGTGAGGAATGGACTCGCCTTAAGCCATTTTAGCTGCCTGTAGATTTGTCTTCATTGAGGATTCATTAGTGGTGTGTTGGAAGTTCAGGGCTTTTCCCCATTGAGGACTGGAATTGATTTAGATTATGAGCTGAAGCAGAACGGTATGAAATGGGATGTTTCGATGTAGAATAGTCTAATTATCTATTCCACAGTGTGAGAGCTGTTGTTGTCTTGATGCCCAGTGCAGTGTTGCTCAGTGGTGGTATCCAGGGGAAGTTTATAAGTTTGTGACAGAGTGCTAAAGACAATGCAGGACTTTGCTTAGATTTTTACTAAAGCAGACAGTTGACACTGTTCATAAACTAATTTGTTTGATTTTTTTTGTAAAAGAAAACAGGGTGTAAATGCTTAGAAAGTATGCATTGTGTATGGTTTTGAGAAAGCTTTAATGTCCCATGCATTATGAGAACTGCAGTGCAATAAAGTCAATCAGCTTGAAGTTCAAAAAGAGCAGGACTTGGTAAAAGTGTGTCATTGCTGGGGCCTACACGGTTAACTTGTTGAACTCCTCACTGGAGCTCTGATTGGCTCCAGCAGAACTCTAGTGTTTCAGGCAGGCAGAGGCCAGCCCCTTCATCTGGTTCTATTTAAGGCCCCAGTGGCGGCTTGTGTGATTGGCGTATGCACTACCCCCTACTCTTCCTCTGCTCAGCCCAGCACTAGAGCAAGGAGCCTTTAGCAGATGGTTTATTTTCCAAGGGAAACCATTTCTTTCTGCGCTGTCCTCAGCTGGCTCTCAGTCCTGCTCTCACTGCTTGCTCTACTATTCCTCAACTCCTGCTGAGTTTGCCTGCATGTGCTGCTGTAGCTGTTTGTGGGACCATAAGGATGCTGTAACACCATGGACTCTCCCCAGATGATGGCGTGATGCGAGCACTTAGTGCAGAAAGTGCAGATGACCTCTCTTGTTGACTTGGAGGGGGTTGTAGCTCTATGGCTAGACAATCAGGAAGATGCATTGAGCCGTGTGAATCTCGTGATTGGCTGATCTGTGGTGACAATCTGGCCTATGGCACAACGGGTGCCCAGCAATCGTTCTCGGGGACCTATGGCTGGCAGCTGGCTGACGGCATGTTTTTTCCCATCAACCCCAGGTCTGGACTCCTCAGACCCCATGCTCCTGGAACAGTACGTGGTGGTGGCCAACTATGAGAAACAAGAGCCTTCAGAGATCGGCCTCCAGGCAGGAGAGGTGGTTGACGTCATCGAGAAGAGCGAGAGTGGTGAGTAATCACAACAAAAGCATGACACAAACTCAGTTTAGTGTTGATAAGCGCTCTGCTGTGCTGCTGGACCTTCTCACCTCTTTTATCCACAGCATGCAGTTTTGTAGTTCCATCTGGAGGCTCACTTTGGCCCGCACTCAGCCCTGTTTTTCTCTCTGTTGGTTTAGGCTGAGGGCCAGAATGTTTCCTCTCACAAAAAGAATGTCTTCCAGACTTGTATTAATTATTACACCTCACATTCAAGGAAAGCAGTGAGACATGCTGGATTTACCGATGCCAGCTGCAAAGTCCTTAGTCAGCTGTTTCAGCCGTGGAAAAGACTCATTGTGGTTGGGATTATCAATCAGCCTGTTGTGCTGTTATTCTGTCTTCAGTAAAGTGTGTAACTCATGCAGATATAAAACTTGAAGCACCAGCAGGACAAGCATTTCAATGACTGTAAGTTACTAATACAGGCACATTTGCTGCACGTGAAAAGGTATTTTGATTCATCCATTGGCTACTGTAATGATGACTGTATTTTCACAAACACTTTATGTTCCACACACAGATCTGTTTAAGTTATTCCCTTCCCGGTCATTCTCTTCCATGAGCACAGAACATTTAGACAGAAAAGTTATGATATCAACATTTGTTGAAATCATACCTGCTTTGAACATATTTGCCGACTGAGCAACAACAGCCACACTCGGTGCAAAGGGGAATAGAGCCTCGTATGTAGGTTGTCTATTTACTTTTAATGATGTGAGGAAACTGTAAAATGGCATTGGCCTCATGTGCAGAGCAAGGGAAGGTTAAGTTTCATGATGGCTGTGAGTGAAGAGGTCCACTGGCCTGAGGAAGGACAGGCAGTGGAGCAGCGGAGGCTTTGAAGTCCTACACGTCTCGTCTTTGGGCTCCGGTGTATTTGTTTTCACTCCCAGTCCCACTAGGATCTCAGCCCGATGGGGAGCCACAGCCCAGCGGATATTCCAACACCTTGAAGTCCTTTAGTAAGGGGAGGGGGGGCTATACATAACCTCTCCTCCTCCACGCCCATGACCCAGACAGTAGACCAAGACTTCTAGGCAGAATTTTTTGTTGTGAAATAGTTTGATGATCTCTTGACTTCCTTGGGGTTGTACGGTAGACCACCACAACAGCTTTTCACACCAAGTATTATGAAAGATATGTGTACCACCGGATCTAAACCCAGAGTTTATCATGACAAAAATGGCATAAATGACACTGAACTAAAGTTATTGCATGATTGTTTTTTGTAGCATAATAATTTGGGGTGTGTTTTATCTCCTTGTCTATTCCAAATTCTTATCATTTTAGCCTCAAGTTATCTTTGCTGTCATTTTGCAGACATTTATCTCACAAGGATTGTAACACTGACATTTTTGGATCTCCTTTACAGGGGAGTGCTGGCCCCATAGAGGAGCAGACTCTTTTACATGTGTTTAGAGCAGGTTCAGGAAGTGGGGCACCAGGAGGAAACCTACGCAGACACAGGGAAAACATTCAATTCCATTAATTTCAATGTATTCTTGCATAGCCCTAAATCACAGCAGGAGTTATCTCGGAGGACTTTGCCAAACTGTTGATTCACAAACACAGATCAGAGAATCAAACACAAGAAATGCAGTGATAAAAAGACACATAGAGCCATCTGTCCATAAGGGGCAGATGACCAATGTCCATAAATGTTGTTGAATTATGAGTGTCCTGGACATTCTAGAACATTTATGGACATGTTAACGGTATACTGTATAGGAGGATTTTCCCAAGTTTTAGGAAAGATCCGCCCTCTCCACTTTGACTCTCTGGTCTTATTTGACGAGCACATACTGTATCACCAGAATGATTGACAATTAGGAGGACCAATAGTCTTGATGATCCACCCGGGAATAAAAAATCCTCCTATATACCTTTAAATACCTAGTACAAGACACTATAGGGAATCTCCACTCTGACAGACCCTGCACAAACCCTAGACCTTCTTGGATATTTTGAGACGAGAGCTTGAATTGCTGTGTTGGCCATAATTGACGCTCATAGATGCATTTGTTGTATGACTATTGTTCAGCAGCTTAGAGCAGCAAGCGAAATCTCAGAACTCCTGCTGCTGCGAGCCAGGATCACTCTGCTCCAATTGGCCGACTACCTTCACAGAATCCCACTGCCAAACCTAACATGACCAGGTGTGTGCTCCAGACTTCAGAGCCCATTACATTCTGTGTCTATTCTTTTGTGTAACGAATGCAGACTTATAATGACTCCCCCTGGACGACTGATCAGTCAATCTGACTTTTGAATTGCATCGCTACAGGCACAGAGGAACCCTTTATGTCAGAACTGACAAAACAAACAACGGACTGTGGTTCGAAGCAGATTTTGTGTTTAAATGAACAAACATAAGTTAGAGTTAGAATTAAATAAGTGAATACAGATTATATATATACATTAATAGATTATACGGTTTTACCTTCTGCCAATTTGGTAATAATTGCTTGAATCAAGTTTTTTTTTTCTTAATTTGAGCACATTCTGACTTCAATGGGACTAAGTTTGCTTTATTTTCTCATTCAAAGAGACACATTTCTTGTATCTTTTTAAAACCAGATTATTTTGCTTTTTCCCATTGGCAAATCTTGTTTTATGGCTGTGTGCTCAAATTGAGATAAATTTGGCCATATTTTTTTCAAGTTTGGACTTATTTTTCCTCACTTTTTGCAGTGCAGACCACATGTCCCAACCTGCATGCAGGTCCAAGAGTCCATGACTTGGGCGGTAAACATGTTTTAGCGCCGTCTAATCATTTACAATCAGAGCTAAACATTAGAGCCACAATGTCTTGACAATAACACTTTTTAAATAAATAAAAAAATGAATAAAGATGATATATATATATATATAATAGATTATAAATATTTTCCTTCTGCAAATTGATCAGTTAAATTTGACCGTTCTTTGTATTTTGAAATTCAACACAATTTTTTGTGGGATGTGGAGAAATGATTCTTCTTATTCCGAGCTGGTTAAGCCTACAAACCTGAAATATTCTGCAGTAACTATGATAAAAGTGGGCCACAATAACATTTTATCTGAAAACCACGACTGACGAGAGTCTTCAGGCCTTTAATCTTTTGTCATTGACCATAGTCCATTAGCTCTCGACATCCTGCTGCTCTCATTGTTCCATACATTCTCAAACCATATCTAAACGTAGCATAAAATCTTCATGTCAGAATCCAATCCAGTGTTGAAGTAACAACACAGGTGTGAAAGTGTATTAGTTTTGCCATTGCCCATTGTGCATCACTGCCCTGCTCCTGCTCCTGCTGCTCCAGCCATACTTCCATACTGTGCCCCTCTGCCGTTACAGACTTTCCCTTACCTTGGATTAGATAATATATGCCTTGGATCACCACAGAATCTAGGTCAGAGCTATACGCTAGCTCAGCTTTCTCCACTTTTCCACCTCTCCAGCAGGATTTTCCACCGCGCTGCTCTCAATGTTTTTTCTCTGTTGGTGTTAGGGACTATATTTGGCCCAGTATTGTAATTTGTCTTGATCATTTTAGTAGTTTGTTCAGTGCCGCACAGGTCCACAGGTGGCCGTGAGTCGCAGCTGTTGAAGGAACCTGTTGAAAGTATAGGTTATAGCTATGGCCACGATCTCTGGGACAAGATGTGTTTCCAATTTAACTGTTTTACGGAAATATATTAATTTACTTGGTTTGTGGGAGAATCTTGGTGATCTTGTTTCGAAGTACCTGTCAAATTGGGAGTAGGAGAAGGAGTAGGAGTAGTAGGATTTTATAAAAAGAAAAAGAAGTAATAGTAGTAGTGCTAGGATTAAAAAAGAAAGAAAAATTAGCAGTAGTAGTAGAATGTGTACTTGTATGTGTATTTCATGTGTTTTACATTTTAAAACAAGAAAAATAAGAAGTAGTAGTAGGATAAAAAGAAATAATAATAAGTTGTAGCCGTAATATAGTGAAAGAAGAAAATTAAGTAATAGTAGTAGCTGTGTTGTTGCTGTCACCGCTGCTATAATTGATCGCACAAAAATTTAGCAAAACATTTCTTCTTCCAAAAACCACCCAACTCCCATTTTAAAAATATTTTTCCGGCGTCCGCTTTCATCATCTTTGTCAGACTCGTACGTTTTAATGATTCCTCTTCTTTCCCGCTGCATGATTGGTGCCTTTTTATTTGTCTATTTTACGAGAATTTGCCAAGGGGGATACTGGCGCAGGAGGAGTGGGAGAACACAGAAGTGGGGGAGAGAAGCTCGAGAGAAAATGGAAAAATCCATTTCCTGCCAAAGTTAGTGGTTGAAGCGAGGTTGGTTCATTACAGCGGCCTAATGGATCCTCCAGGATGCCTCTTTAGCTTCAGATGTTAGCGTCGACCCCGTTCTCGATGAAAAAAAAACACAGGATTTGGCCTTTTTAATTGTTTACGGAACACAATTTGCAGTCCTGTGGGGAAATATTGCATATATCGTTTTTGGTCAAACTAGGTCCTAAACGCCCTGATCTTATATTTTTTTTTCATTCATTCATGTTCTACCCCTTTATTAGTTCATTTCATTATTAGTTATTTTTTAGCTTCTCTGCCCATCACAAGGGTAAATTGGATGAACAAAACGGGGGCAAAAAGTAAAGCGTGATGCATATGCCAACCAGTGCAAAAATGTAAATACAATGTAGCACTTGAATCCAAAATTGATCCCAAAACTATGCCCCAAACTCCCCTCTCCCTCCTCTCTCCAGATGGCATCTCTATTAATTGACATTTAAGGCTACTGCTGGTGGGATGAGAACCAGGTGTGGGTGTGTTGTAGAGGTGAGGTCAGTGCAAAGTGTTCTCGAAGGACCCCTGGATCCCTCCCACATGTGTGGAATCCTACACCCCGCCCAGCTGACTTAACCAGGGTGGAGGATGCCAGATAGACTTATAAAATGTGAATATGCATGTTACTCGTATACTGTATATGGACGTCC